TTCTTATTTTTTAGCTCACGTGAACCATCAGGAAGAATTATCCATTGATCTGGTGGGAGTTTTTCAAGTAATGGGTGACCTTCAGGATAATCACTAAAATCATAGAGGTCTGCATCCTCGACCATATCAGCATAGACGTCCTCAATCTCTATTTCAATAATTAGTGAATCCGTATCGGTATAACATAATTTAACACGATCCCCATACTTGTGCTTGATATGGTTATACCAGAAATCATACATATAATACTTACTAAGATCTAAAATTGAAGCTCTGACATAGATTGGCTTATTTAGTATAACATTCGTCTGCTTTCGATGTACTGCTATAAGATTACTTCCATGAAATATCTTATGACCAACTAATGCCAGATCTGCTAACATTTTGCGAAGTCGATGTTCCTCTCCTATTGGTTGTACTAAATCTACCCATGTATGACGTCAGACATCCTCCATAGTTTTTCCGAATACTGCATTGTTCATTAATTTCCATAGATCTTTTTCGAAGGCATTTTTAGCATCACGACGTCGCATATAGTTGGCCATAATATATGGCTTCATCTATGGAGACTGATCAAACTCTAAAACTCGATAAATATGCTCGAGCTCCATTCCTAGTTCGAGACATTGCTGAAGATTTCGGTAATGGATAATATAGCGGTCTTTAGTCTCTAATGTTGCGACCAATTTTTCTGTCTCGGCAAATTTACCCACTCAATTTATCAATTAAGTCTTTTTGATGAGGACTAAGCTCATTACGTTTAACTACTCGACGTTCTGGGCAAAGCGGATAGTCAGTATGTGTTGAATGAATGTGTTCCGGATATTTTAATTTTACTTCCCAAGCACTACCTCGTTTAGCAGTTGGAGAAATAGACCGAATATCAGGCAGTTTGTCTAGCTTGAGCCATCGGAATCCTCCTGTCGGTAAATATTGTGACATAGTCCATCCGTATAAATTATTAGCATCTAAATATAGGAGCCATTTATTTATCTTATATTTATTATAGCCTTTCATTCCGGGAAAATTTACTTTTGCTAAACGTCGTGGGGCCATAGAATTTCCGTCTTGCATCCAGCGTTAGACAAATTCGTGCATATCTTCTTGCCCTTTATGGAATGATTCGAGCTTGATCTTAGTTATCTTTTTTAGCATGTCAAATGTGAATGATGGTAATGTTATATAATTCAGAGGGTCTAGTCTGGATACTTCCTTCATTGTCGTTCGGAATCGCTGAATTGAGTCCGCTAATATTAGAACATCGGTTCTGAGATATAAATCATGGTAGTCTCCAAATGTCTCACAATTTGCTTCCTCCCATACTTTCTGTACGTGGGCATATTGCTTCTGACTAATGGTGTAAATTTTTTCGTGCTCGCAATCGTCGGCCTCCTTTAAATCTTCTTCCTTACATTTTCCATTGCACTTTTTACCCTTTATTTCATGCTTACATTTTTTACAACTATTTTCACAATAATTCAGTCCGCCTAGCACTGTGTTAAATTCTTTTCTTGATGGGAGCTCTGTTCTAGAGAAGCGCTCTGGATCATTTAATTCATATGGATACTCACTTTTTTGTGTGACTAGTGGGAGTAAATTCTGAGGTATTCTCTGTGCCATTATCGGAAAACATTTAGCCAATTGCTCTGGAGTCTTTTCTTGACCACGCAAATTATTTGCTACTTTTTCTAATGAGGGGAATTGGAATTGGATGGAATCTATAAATCTTATTTGACCAATTGTTATTGACTTATAGTTCTCCATATTGTCCGCAATTATTTCGATTTTGTCATCACTAACTAGCCCTAATTCCCGTATTTCATGATGAAAGTCATAATGTTTTCCGCTGTGATATATTAATGGGATCTTAATTTCGTCTGGCTTTATTCGGAGTAGAAAGATTACATCTACGATGTGCTGGGCCACGATACTTCCTGGTAAAATGATCATGATCTCTAACCCTGTTGTCATTTATATCGGCTTGAAGACTCATTTTACATAAACAGCATTTGGTTGCTTTTTTAAACGTATTTTCCTCTTCTATAGACAATCCTTCTGTACGATATACAGCCTCGATAGGTTTTCTTCTGTAGCTTCACACTTAATTTTAACACAACCATGATGAGCACCGCCTATGAATTTTCTGGTTGAGTCGAAATATTTCACTTTATTATATCTGGTTTCTTGTAGTTTTCCTTCACATATGTAGCATCTTATGGCAGACTTATGTGAACGCCAATCTTGCTCTATCATTTTTATTTTTTCAGGGTTCGCAACTTTGGCTTGATAATTTCTTCTAAATTCCGTTGCATGCTTTCCCATGACTCTGCAATCGAGTTCAGAGTACGCCTAGCAATTTCTTTTGTAAGCTTCCCATCCGTTTGGATCAAAGAATAACCATAACTATTAGGCTTCTGCTTCTATAGTTTAACGGTTTTTTCATTGATAATATTGTTTTCTATTGGATCACTATCTGCTTCGAGATCCTTAGCGAAATAAAATGGTACATTTTCCATAGCTCCATAATTTTTGAACTTCATGATATGCATCCCCTTTTCGGGAAAGATTTCTCTTTGTCCAGCATTAGAATTATTTCGACCATGGCAGTTGTGCTCTATATGCTCTTGGAGTAAATCTAATCTTGAGAATGGAGCAATCATGCAGTGACGGCAGAAATATTTTCGTCCATGATGCTTATTCCAATTGCGCATGATTCTGTTCCATCCATTTTCGCCATTGATAAGACAGTAATGCGTATTTAACCCTTCTGGTATGTCATTAATATTACGACGATCTTTGAGGTTTTCTTCTCCTTCAGTAAATAATATTAAATCTACCAAATGCTCTCTTTGATAATTATATTCTGATATGCAGAGTGGGTCCAACATCCTAGTTTTCTGCTCTTTGTCATCTAGTTCTGGAGTAGGGTAAAATACATTTACTGAATATGATAGATTTTTCTCTTTGAATATGTCTATATCTCATAGTGTGGCTGGAAAATTTATATCAGAGAAGTCTAGTATGTTGTCAAACCTTCGTAATCTACTGACATCATGAAGATTTCTTGCTCTAGTTCCCTGTCTACGAGCTTTCTCACTAGCTAAATAAGCCTTTAAACAGGCTTCGAAACATCTTTCATCTGTATTTTGTGGATTGATTATTCCTAACTGAGGTTTTGCCCATATTTTTGGTAAAGCAAAATGTGAACTGCCTCGAAGTGGTTGATATGCACTTATTTCTAGAAAAATCTTTTTCCCATATTCATAGATCCAGCCTGAATTTTGATTTTGTTTCATTTCATCGAGTTTATCCAAAATTTCTCCATATTGATGTGAAACTGTTTGATCTATTCGATCCTGGCGAATAATATCTAAAATTTCACTTGGAAACGCTATGTCTTGATCTATTCGGTGAGCAAAACGTTCCCCTTGTACAATCCGATACATATGAGCTATGAGAACTATTTTAATTTTTATTCCCCCTAAGCGCGCTAACTCTCTTCTATAAATATTACTAATTTGGTCTTCTACATCCTCGAACGTGACTAAGGGATCTTCTCGATAAGGATAAGTTTCTGGAATAATAGCAAGATGATCTACACATAAGCCTTGATCAGAAATTCTTCTAGTTTCTACTAATCT